AAAATCGATTATTTTCTCATAAATCATTAATAGCATAATCTGAAAGGGAAAAACACGCAACGGGAAAGGAAATCTGACAATATACATTGAAAACAGATATCTTCTTACATTATATGCACTAATATTTCATAATATTTTCATTTTAAACGAACTGAAATTCAATTAAAGGTTTTTATAGATCGCTTCGTTTGGTAACCATATATTTGTATTAAAATATATTTTACAATGTTTCATCCGAATTAATTGAGTTTGTTATTCGGCAAACACCCCATGTGGCTAAACCAAATTTAAAAGGTCGGCTAGCTTTAAGAAGATTATGGTAACTATGTTAAAAAATTTCAATAAAACAAAAATATCCATGAATAGAAGTGGCAGAAGACAATATGCAGATTATTTTCGAACAATGAACAAAAGCATCCGTACATTACATAGTTAATTGTATTGATTTGCCAAAATATTGATCAGAAATCAATAATACGCCCAAAAATTCAAGCCAATAGCCGTGAAAAGATGGTAGAGTGTACATTGGATTCTGGCCAGGATTCAATTCACATTTCTTTTCGAATAAAGTTTTCCAATTATTCCATCCAAAATCCACATACATAAAATAGTAAAATACCAAAAAATTCGCAGTGAAAAGAACATTATTCAATAAGAGACAAATTTAATCCATATTACGTGAAACCAATTTGATATCGAATATGCCATCATCCAAAACCGCATTACCTCAAAAAATAAAACACGATTTTCTGAATTGCACACACAAAATGAATGCGATCTCTTGTGATATATCACGTGAAAATAAATAAAAATCAATAATGATAACTTTTTGGTGTTTCTAGCTGCTTTTTCTCTCACCAAATCTGTTTCACCCTCTCTGCCGCTTTCGTTTCGATCAGCGAATAAAAATGGATGCTGCCAAAACAACGTCGAGATTTGCGAACAACGAAATATGGTTTAAATTTTGAAATATCGCTGGCGTTGAAGCGGATTAAGATGCATATTTCCCAGTCATGCATTGTATTGCAAACCATTCCATCGTTCTTCTTCACTCTCTTCTCTCTATACTCTATCGCTTCGCAATATTTTCGCCGGTTTATGGTTCTGGCCAAAAATCATTGGCAACCGTTAAAGCTGCTTCGAAAATAATAACAATTTGCCATACCGAGAGTTCGAAGATTGCAGTAAAATTTGCTATTTTAAATCTATCTGTGGTGGCACACAATCACGCTTTGAATCAATATTTTAGTAAAGCACCATAAATGACATCACAAAATTAACCCCATAAATATTATTTTGTCGGGGAGACGACGACAAAGAATGGGGCGATCCGAAAAAGATTGAGTGGGTCAGAGTTCGGTGTGGAAACCACAAAATTCCGGCTGCTTTTCCATATGAGACGAACTCGCACACGATGCACAATCACTAAATTTGTTCAACGAACCAAACGGATATGGAGAGATGCCTGTGTCAACAATTACGTTTGCTTTTGCGATTTTCGATTTTGAACACACGCGACCATTTGCCAAAGAACATTCGAGTCGATTTTTCATTTCAACTATGCATTGCATGTAAGAACCGAAAAGAATCCATTTTCCACTACTTTTGCGACTCGCGCCGAATAAACTTTTTATCGCTTCATTTATTTTCGTCGCTAACGTTTGCTCGCAAAACAAACACATCACCTTTGATATCTTGATATTTTCAACTTTCGGCATTTTGAACAAATAGTATTTTGTCAAATACCCACATCAAAATGTGCAAGGAGAAAGAGAGAAAGCACTTTTACCGATAAAAATATTTTTGGCTAATCGCACCGATACTTCCACCGATTAACAACTTAGCACACTACAAAATAGCTTTTGGAGTAAGATTTTTTTTGTTCAAATCAAGATTAAACGGGTTTTGCCGAGGGAAAAAAGTTTAGGTGTTTCGATTTAATACACCTGATATTTGAATAGTTTTTTTTAGATGTTTTCCTAAACCACTTTTTGGTGGACAAAAAAACACGATATTTGTATCATTTTAAAAGTTTTCAAGTAAATTAGTCAGAAATGATTTGTGTGCACCCTTATTTTTTCCAGTTTGTAATATATGCTATCATGTCTGGCTTATGAGTTTCATGCGAACCGTTTGTTTTTATACACTTCAAGCTGTATGTAAAATGAATTATATCACTACAAAATAACATTTGCTACACGTTTCGAGTTTATTCGAGAAAATGTATCATGTTACGTTCGTTGTGAACCACACTTTTTCCAACATCATGTTTCAATTTAAATATTTAAAAAAATGAAAAAATAAATGTTGGATAGCGGTCAATGTTTTCACGTGTCATGCTTTCATGAAAGATTTAAACTGGAATTGGACTGCAAGCGATTTTATATAAATATATATTTTTTTCGTCTTCAAAAGTGGTTATTAAATACTCATTTATTATTTATTTTTGATGGTTTGGTGTGATTGCTCTTGGGGCTATACATCGGCAAGCCAAACATAAATTCATATTTATTATATTCGAATTGAAAAGCGACGGGTGTCAACATTTATTATTTATATTTTAAGTTCTTTAAAATGCTTTTATACGTTTAACTTAAAAACTTCAATTAACCTCAATTCGTAAAATAGATTTTGTGTAATAAACAAATCGTACGCAAAAACCCATCGAACATCGAAAATTCGAAATCGATGAAAGAAAATTCGAGAATTAAGATTCAATATTATCATTTCTCTCGATAAAACTTTAGTTGTTTTGATACATATTTAGATTGAAGTTTATGCGTGTTGGAAAGTTGGAAAATTTTATTTAGTGACAAGTGGAAAAGTATTTTCCTGTAAAGTCGTTTGAATTTTCGAACAAAATTGGCCCAAAAACTTTGACATCGTATCAATTTAAATCCTTCACATTCCCATTTTGTTGTTCGTATATATCAATTACGAGCTTCGAAGATGCGAGTGCATTTATTAGAAAATATATCGCTTCGATGAAAACAAAGTTCATCGGAAGTGGATGCGGATGCGAACGAATCACTTCTTATGTGTATGATTGTTGTTGGTGTTGTTGTTGTGCACTTGAAAATGTTGAAAAGTTTGTCTTGCACTATTTCATTGCGCTTGAAAGGAAGAATGCAACTATTTCCGTTGTTTCTGTCACACATTTTCTCCGTGTACGCTCTACACTTTTGCACAACTCATTGTAGTTTATATGTATTTCACATCAAAAAGCGAATGTTAACATTTATGCAACTATTCGACTATATATTTCTCTCTTTTTCTTCCAACACCCACACCCACTGCTGGGTGTTTTTTTTTATCCCTGTTAACTTTTCCATGTTTTTTGTGTCATGATGAAATCTTTGCTAGTATTTTTGATTTCTTTTGATCGCTGAGAATTTCGCACAAGTTTGAAATTTTCCGACTTCTTTTTATAAACTATATGTTGAACATGAAAAAGTTGCAAATGTATAGCAGGCAGACAAGACTACTTTTGAAATTCATATATATATAGCAACGAAATGGAAATGGTTTCTTTTTTTATACTCAACACATTCTTTGAGCATTCTAAAAATGTTTCAAACAAATGAATTCTCGCTCGCTCCTTTTGTATTTTGTCTTTGTATGATGCGCTTGGTCATCGTTTCTCGTCGACAACGACGACGACTACAACTTTAATACCGAAATGGGATAAATATTGAAAATGTCAGTGCGTACACAGAGATTCAACAAGATTGTATCGTTTTTGCCTTAAGCCAACTCATAAAATCCACTTCGCACAAACGAAAACACAAAAAAAGTTAATAAATATATCAGTCATATAAAATGCGTTCTGTTATTTACAAATAACAGTATGAATTTTGTTTAAATTATGGATTTGGCCAATTTTGGAACATGTCTAGACAACTATTGTTTGCATGTTGTTTTCGAATTTATCATCAAACGTATGATTCTGCTAGCTAGATACCACCTACAGAAAATAGGGGACTGGGAATGGTGGCTGGATCCTCACTATAACAAACACACCTATTGCTTATAATATCACTATACTAATATTATAAACAATAGAAGTGATTGTTATAGCGAGTGCCTAACCGACATTCCCAGCTCGCTATTTTCAGCAGGCGCTATGTAGCCAGCAAAATCATACGTCTGTTTATTACATACGCATTATTCCATTGGTGCATTCAACATGACAAAATGCTTCGGCAACAAATGCAATCTGTTCCCATGTTCACAAGATAAAAAGACATTTGATTGAAATTCGCTTAATATTAAAATATTTAAGAGATAGACTAAAATGCGCACAAAGAAAAAAGAAGAAAAAAGTACACAAAAAGAAAGCAAAAAGTAGAAAGTAAAATAGTTGATTTATTCACAATTTTCGTCATTCATTCATAAAGTTTATGAACTTTTTTGAATTTTGTGAATAGTACACAGAGAGAAATCTATTACGTTTTATTGCAACATTTTTGAAAAATGTCAAAACACAACCACTGTTCTGTTTCTTCCCACTCATTTCTTTATTCAATTGTCAATGTTTATGCTGCGCGCATGTATAGAAGGTTCTTTTATTTAGCGGGAAAAAACACAACAGTGATTGTGTTTTGACGTTTCTCAAAAATGTATTAGTAAATATTAATGTTTTTCTCTCTGTGTAATTTCCGTAAAGAAAGCGAAAAATAATAATAATAGAAAAACACTCTTTTGCACTCATTGAAGATGGAGCAGGAAATTGAGACATATGCTTTGCACTGCGCAATATTCACAGCGAATTTCTTAGTTTCGGAATGAAACTAAATCTTATCTCATTGGGAAAGCCAAAGAATTGTCGGAATTACTTTGTTGCGAGATACCATTTTTGTTCAAACTATTTTCGTATTTCAGAGTATTTCACGTGCCCCGTGAATAGATTTAATTCGATACTTTTGATACAATGTGTAATAGCTCATGTTTTCGTTTATGTGATACCTGATAAATTTTTTCCCTCTATTTTCGCCAATCAGATGAGGATTTCACAGCGGAAGAATTTCCGGAGGATTTCATGCCGCCACCGATGCGCGATGACTTCGTGATTCGAGACGACATGTCACAAAATAACCTGATACAAGATAAAGGTACGTTATATTGCTTACATTTTAGGATAAAATGGACTATAAAACTATTTGTTCGGAAAGCGAATATAAACGGCTCACAAAAATTATTTCTAACAACCTTATGTAATTGAATCGTATTTTATTTCATTTAAAGGGTTAGTTTTTCGAACATCTTGATTATAAAAAGGGAGCGAGAGGGAAAAAACTATATAGATAATAATTTCATTTTCGGTTCAAGAGCTGCACAAAATTGTACCATTAAAATGTGTACTTTCATGAACCGTAAACAGTGGGAACTGTGTGTGTGTGTGGCTTGACTTGTTTGCAGTTAAAGTTAACAACTTGAAAAGTCTTCGTTGTGTCCCGTAAAACTGCATTACTTGGCGAAATTCAATATAGACCAACAACCCGGGACAAAATTGCTTAGTCCATGAAAATGTTTTATTTCAGTTTGTGTATGCTGGTGGAAAATGTAAATGTGTAGTGAATTCAAATATAGAAAAAGTGAAAGAACGAACGAAGAGTAGACGAGAAGACAAAACATTTGATGAATGTTATTTCATTATGCGATTATATGTTGACAATAAATTTTTGCATTGACGTACGACGAAATGGTATTGCTTGAACGCACTCAACAGCCAACATAACATAGCGTATTCTCAATTTTCTACTTTTCACTCTCATTTCCGCTGTGCGTTTTTTTCCCGGATTTTTGCTTTTTCCAAATGTAAAATGCATGAAAGTGCGATAGAATAGAAAAGAAAGCACAAAAACGCAATTAAAATTTTATGTTTAATGCTTATTTTTTCCACTTTGCTCGGGTATTTTTCTTTAATTTTGTCTGTTTTTTTTGTTCTGATTTTTTTTTGTTGCCTGTGCCGCGTTTTTCTGCGCTGAAATTTTTTGCATTCACTACTGTCTGCCGCTTCCATATTCGACTAAATTCTTCTGGCGTTGTCTTCGGCTCACCGCTCTCTGGCCGCTCGCCCACCCGCACATTCCCGTTTCGATAATGTAAAAGAAAAGAAACTCACTCCGCAACTACAACACATCTATTGTTTTAACAATCTCGCTATTATTTTCACAGTAGTATCGAGAGCGGTTTCGACTCTTTGTTCGTTCGGCTGTAAAACGATCGTCAAATGTGTATGCCAGTCGAACTTGGTTACACAAACAATATTTACAGCATCTTATTCGTAATGAAAAGTGGAAAACTGTAATGAACGAACTACATGGCAAAAGCAACAATAACAACAGTTACAGTAGCTACATCAGCAATCGAAAAAAGTAAGAATATAGAGGGAAAATAAAGAAAAAGAAAGATTATTTACTTTGCAAACGAGAGAGTCTTCTGTCGAGATAGATATACACGCGCTATTCACTAAGATCGGAAACTTGAAAGAAATTATATAGTGTTGCGCTGAGTCGCACTTTGTTAAAATGGAATAGGTAGAATGGAGAGGAAACTACATAAATTTATCAGCAATTTTTTTCGTAAGTTTTTCGTACATTCTATAAAAAGGGGGCGATAAGAAATTATTGAGGAGGTGTGCAGTCTCAGTCATTTTCTTGCACATTTTTCTTCGATGCAGCAATTTCTGCAGGTTTTGAAATAAATAAACAAGCATTTTGCAACGAAAAATGAACTTAATTAAATGTGTACTTTCAACTTGATTCTGTATGGTCGACAATAAGAAAAAGATCTATTTCGATATTGTGTTCGTGTTGGCTTTTCCAACCCCAACACTTATACACTCAATGCATGCTCTTTGGTATTTATTTTTATATTCAAAACTTTGCTCTTTCTCGTCGATTAGCTGGCTTCGCAGTTTTTTCTACTTTTTCTGCTTTGTTCGACATTTCATCGAAAGAAAAAGATAGAAGAAGGAGATATGGAGATAGAGAGAGAGAAAGAGAACATATCAATGTGTATCATCATTAAAAGACAATAGATTACAATAGTTTTGTGCTGGCAAACAATTTCCGATGAAAAAAAAGGAATACAAAAGATACACAACTAAAGATAATAAGTTATAGCTACAATATAATATAGACAATTTCATTTCTGGCCAAGTTGGAAAATTTATTGAAAAAAAAATTGTATTTTTCAATTGAAGATCAGGCGACACAGTTCTCATCATCATCACGTAATTGAAATAAAAAACGAACCTTTGAATAATTTTGTTAATATATTTTTTTTGTTGCTGTCGTGATAAACATCATTTTCAACGTGATTTATTGTTATATAATATTTCTCGGTCATATTTCATGGTGAATTAAATCACATGGCATGGAAAAATCTGTTGGCAAGAGAATTTTTATGACTCGACCATAAATGGTGTGTCAATCAAGTGGTATGAATACAATATTGAATGGGTATTTTGTCGGAAATGGCTTATAAATATAGAATGTGAATGCGGGGCAATCTATCACATCATCATATATGATGATTATTTTACGCGCCTGTTTTGTCGTGTAGTAATACGATTACATAATATTTTCCTCATCCGGTTCAAGTATGTGTCCACTTAAAATGGAACACTCACACCACTTTTGCAAACACCCACATTGAAACATTGTTTAAAAACATCCACTTCGGAGATTATATTTCGAAACAATGTTACGGAATCCACCGTTTGATTAGCCATAGTGAACTCAAGCAGCCTATTAATGTGAAAATTTCAATCATCTTCTAATAGGGATTGTTTCTCTCCTTTTTTTGTCCCTTTGAAAAATCGACAAAAATCCAAAATGTTGTTGAACATGTTGGTTTTGTTCAAAGCAAAAGAAGAACCATTCACCGTATAAATTGTTGACAGTGACACCAAAAATAAATAAAATATTAACTCGAATCCTATAGATTGAATGACATAAAGACAGTGAATTGGCTCGCACAAAGATTTTGAAATGAGATTAGACAACGTTATTTGATGTTGACGATGAAAATAAAAGCGCACAAACCATACCAACTCTCAACTTTCTATATGTAAACAGAGACTAGAAAAATCAAACAATAAAAACACCAAAATCATTGCAATAAATAAAAGCTACCTAACAATGTGCTTCAGTTTTTGTATCATCGTCATATTGTGTCATGGGATGTTACAATGTTTACCACAACAATGTCCAGAACTTATGTTATGTGTGTGTTCGTTTATGGCATGATCATCGATTTTTTTTCTTCTTTTTCTCCGTCGATTGCTTTTAGTTTTTACTACTCGATATGTTCCTCAGCTGCACATGGTTTGCCATCAGAAGATCGTTCAACTGTGAAATTTCTTTTGTTGCGTTCATTCGCTTCATTGATATTTAGTTATATTATATGGTACCAGTTTTTTTTTATTGCTGCTTGCCCACTTCAAATGCTTTGGACTCTTGGATCGACAAGTGCATTGTTCTAGATAGAGGCAGTCGCCTATCTGATCCAACCCTCATCATTTTTCCTATTGTATTAATGACTGTATCGATCGATTTATTCAGTCGCACGGAACGTAATTCACCAATCCATTTGATTTGTCAATCATGATTTTCAGTGAAATGCTTTCATATTATATTTTACATTGTCAATCCAGTGGATTTCAATATTTCAAATTGATTTTCCAAATGATAGGGACAGAGAAAAAATCACGAATCCATTGAATTTTCCAACATTATTTTGCACTTTTCAACTTAATCAAAAAAAAATCTCTCATTATTTTATGCATACGAATCGATTATTCGATTTGATGAAAACGTATGAATGTTTACACATTATACAAACTGTTTCAATTGTTTCCATAGCATATGATATTTGCGACGCATTTTCACAAAAATAGGATTCCCGTCGCATCGACAAACATGAATTTCACTCAAATGTTGTTAATCCTATAATTACATAATAGATTATATTTCGACATCGAACGATGAAGATTGATCAAATCTTGTCGACTATTGAAATGTTCAACAACAAATACGAAAATCAAATGATAGATTTAGTAACAAATAACATCAAAAATAGTTGAAAATGAATGTGAATTCAAAAAAAATTAATGCCAAAACTTGGCGGTGAATTAATGAAAAATTCTTTCTAACCCGCGAACATTGCCAACTGTGGAATGTCTACACAAATATGCAATTTTCGTATGGGCGAAATTTTTCATTGCACTTGTTGTAGTTCTTTGAAAATGAATTTAAAATGCTCTATAACTATTTTTCGAGCGAGAGAGATTAGTGAGAAAATCGATTAAAACGACAAACTTTAAGTAGTAAAGATGTCGTGCATTTTATGAGAGAAGTCATAAAATCTCTGCACATTTCTTCATTATTGACTTGAACGCATTGTTATTATATTGCTGTTTTCTGTACATAGATAAGTTCAAGAGATTACTATCAAAATCAGAAGCTCTTTCGCTTCAAAATAACTTTTGCACAGAATTGAATGAAAAAAAGATACCGATGCGACGGTAGAGAACAAGAGAATCATAGTTGAACAAATAAAAAGTAATCATAATGTGAATTATTTAGATAGTTTAATGGTAGCAAGAGAAAAGTAACATCACAAACATTTTCCCAGGGAACTAATTGTTGTGCATTTTATTTATGACATGAAATATCGTTATATCGTGTTGTTTTTGAAATCTAGCAAAACATAACGATAATTCGGATTTTCAAATGAAATCATTTGGAAATGATTTACCTTCTCCGATGACCATCATTTAAAAAAAAAGTCGGGGAGAGAGATAGAGAGAGAATTGAAAAAAAAAAACGAAATCTATAAATAAACAAACTGGACATTGCCATCGAAAAACAATAAAATGAAGCTAATAGTGTGCATGTCGCCGCTGTGATTCCTGCTTGCTCTGTGAAATCGAGGGTGGGATGTCATACATGTGGTTGATAATGTATCATGCAGTTAGTTAAATGAAAACGTACAATATCGACTAGGGGCAATGGAATAAACAGGGACATTTTCAATGCATTTTACCCAATATCTGCTGTGTATTATTTACCCACAACAAAAAAGGGAATCGGCACGAGATCGA